GGTGCTGCAGGCCTCCCTGGCCGGTGGCAGGTGCACGGCCGGCGGGGGGGAGGGGGGACGTCGAGGCCCACCAGGCCACCCTCCCAACCGGGCACGCCAGGCGCGGGGCCAGACCGCGCGGCCGCTCCCCGCCCGCCTCCCCAACTCCCGCGTCCGTCTGGCGCCCGCCGGGCCTGCGCCCCACCCCAGGCGGTGGAGAGGACAGGACAGAGGAGGCCGAGGCTCGGGCGCCGGAAACCAGGGAGCGCGGACTGACTCGGATTTGTTGTGTGGGGTTGCCGCGGCCACTAGGCCGCGTCCTCCGGCCATTGTCTATCCCAAGTTCCAGACTGCACGTTGAAAGCAGGCGATCAGAATGCGCGGCGACTAAGGACGCGGGGAGGACCGCCCGGCGCAGGAGCAGCTCTCCGCCAGCCGGGAGCCGCGCCCGCCCTGACCGCTCTCCTCCGGCTGTGCCCGCCGCCGCCGCCCGCCCGCTCGCTCGCTCGGGGGCCTCGGCCTGGGCGGCGCGCCGCGGAGGCCGGGGCCGGGAGACCGGCCGCCGCACGTGGTCGCGTCCCGCAGGAGGCCCGGGCCTGGGCGCCCCTGCCCGCGCGCCCACGTGCTCCTCGCCGGATGATATTTGCAAAGAAAGCGCTAATGGCCAATCTGGTGTTTATTTTGAAACTGCTAACAATGATTTTTCTCGGGTAAAAAGGCAGTGTCTGCGCGCACGCTCGGGTGGGTTTTGAGCAGAGGCTCTGCCAGATGGTGCGAAGCCCTAGGTGCGCTCACGGCGGCGCCCAGCCCGGCTCCGCCGCCCCGGGAACCCCCGGCCCGGCCGCCCGGGCCTCCGCCGCCCGCCTCGCAGAGAGAAAAGGAGAAAGGCCACTGGGGGAGGGGCAGGAGGCGGGGGCCGAGAGCTGCAAGTTCCCGGCAGAAAATTCCACGAAGGGGGTGGGATGCCCTCGCTCCAGTTCCCGCCCCTCCTAGAAATTATCGGGAAATTACTTCCAACCTCCTCGGGCACTTCAGACACTTTCCTCCACTTCCCAGCGGACAAAGCCCTTCTGAAGGGCGCCCGGGGCTGCCCTCCTGGGAAGAGAAAAAGGGTCCCCTCGAGCCCCTCTCCCCGGCCTCGCGCCCGGCCCGCTCCGAACCACAGAACTGATTGGTGTCACTGCAGGCCTACGAGCCGCCTGGGGCTGCAAGGCGCGAGGCCTGGGAGACACCAGCACTTCTGAAAGAACGGCTTATCCTCCTTGAATCCCGTATTTATATTTGATTTATTTTTTATTTTGTAGCACAAACAGAAATCCATAAACTGTCGGTTCAGCGCCATTGACTCTTTGATCAGTTACTGGGCTATTTCTTTTCTTTTCTTTTTTTTTTTTCCCCACCCCGTCAGTGAGAGGAGATTAAATGCCTTTATTTTCTGCACTGTTTATGCTGCAAAGGTACAAGGCTAAATGAACAATTAAAGTGTACTTTAAACGAAGCCTCCTCCTCCTGTATGCAGGACAGAGAAACTTAGCACTGCCTACATAAACCCCCTAATTAGACTATGGCGATTTCCGAAAAACATTCAGCCCTACATACAAAGGAAATAAAAGCAGCCTGACAAACAGCAGCCGAGTTCCAGGGCTTCTGTGAATCCAGAGAAATAATTACCGAAGGGCACACTGCAGCGTCTTTGTCAGAAAGACGGGTTTACCTGTCAGATCTGCTTTACTCCAAGAGAAAAACCACCCTGTTCTGCGGTAGCAGACATTAAAACTAACGCCCTGGCTGCCTAGGTAAGGACAAACTTTTTCAAGGGGAAATAAAATGTGCAAACTAATTGCGCTCAGAGAGTGGGAGGCTTGTGTGCTGGGATGCAGGAAGCACCAGAGGTTCGTTTTTTCTACTTGGTTCACAATTCTTAAAAGTTGGTATCAAAAAAGAAGCTACTTTCATTTCTAAGCATGAAATCCAACTTGAGAGTACATTCTAAATCAATCAGTGCCCAGAGAATTTAATTTACAAATTGAACCAGCCCTCTCCACACACACTATTTTAAGAAAGTGGAAGCAATGTCTTTAAAACAATAAAAACACCACCACACTACCCAGCACAAAACCAGCAGTCACAGACTGCGAAATGTCAAAAAAGCAGTGAAGTGCTTTTTCTGCACTTAATCACATTACTGATAGCCAATAGTTATCATCGGAAAAGTTGACCAAGACAGGTTAAATAATTTAATAAGGAACTGCTTGTAATTATGTTATTTACAAGGTATGACAGAGGGTGGGAGAGAGAGCAGAGCAGTGGACGGGTTTGAGTGACCCCTGGAGCTCAGAGTTTGAATTATGGAGATGGGGGGCTGAGAGGTGAAGATGGACTAGAGGAGAACAAGGTGACTTTTCACCCCAACACATTTAACTTTTAAATCCAAATAAACGTCTCGTGTTACTACAGCATCACACTGGAAAGAAGAGAAAAATGAACTAATCAAGCCCAACTCCATGGGCTTTGGGAAGGAGTTAGTTGCCTTTGTTAGAGGGGGAAAAAAAAATCAATGAAATGATTCCGAGCAGAGAGAGAAACATTTGAAAATAAACAAGGGGAGGATCTTGATATTTTTCTGTCAAATATTAATTACTATAATTAATTAAGACAGAATTTGATTCCAAACACAAGCCACTTAATAAAGCATGTATGTCCTGTTCTAATGATAGCATAAACTATTGTACCAATCGCTCCATTTATTCCAATAAGTATGGAATTCTCATTAGCATGTCAAAGAAGCTAAATGAAAAACAAATACAAGAGATCCATTTGTCAGTCTCCTCTCTCCGAACCCCAAGACGACCCAGCTCAGCAACAAAAAACGAGTGCAGAGGCGTAAACTTTCTCACCTGTTTGGTCATTGAATCTATGAGGCGAACGTACAGATCCTGCTCTGTTCTGACTCCTGCAAAAAACAGAGACAATTTCTCAACAGGATTTTAGTGCTTCACCTCAGGAAGGACACTGGGCCTGGGAACGCTGCCTTGGAGATGCAGCAAAACTTAGGCAATCCTTCCAAGAGGAAGAAAGAGAACCCCAATCACTTCTCACTTTATTATTTTTTTTTCTTAATTAAGAGCCTCAGGACTCTTAGGGTTTACATTTGAAGGTGCAAGAAATTTGCCTAGCAGAGAGCAGGCCTGTTTGTGGCTGGTGGGCCCATGTGGTCATTTTATTTTTAGAAAAGAGAAAGCACCCAATGGAAACTGAGTGAGAGCCCAGTTCTTTCCAATGCCTCTCGAGGATTTTATTTTAAACCGTGCGCAGGAAGTAAGTTATGCTCGGTTTATGGAGGTACCCCATCCCAATAATTAACATTAATTTGCAAAATTGAAAAAAGTCACTTAAAAGTGATGTTCTCCAGGAGCCCGGATCGATCCCCTTTTTACTTTCTACTTCAAGCCCCACCGGTTAATCATGTGAAGAGACATCGACTTATCGATCGTTTATGTTTTGTTTTCCTTCTATGCCATGAGAAGATTTCGTGTTTACATCCGTGTCATTTTAATCTCAAAATCTTTACGTCCTGTAACCATCTCGGGCAGGGAGAGCCAGCGCGCAGGGGCGGAGAGGGCAGCCAGCAGGCAGCGGGCACTCACCGTTACTGTACAGTAGCTGGAGCTTATAGTGGATGCCGTTGTTGGTTTTCTCGTTGTTTGGCTCCTGAAAGCAACGATAAATAATTGCATTTAGTGTGGCGGTGTCAGGCGAGGCCACCGCGCTTGATCCCCCTCCGAGACCGAGGCCCCTCGGCCTCACACATGGCAGGCAGGATTCCTCGCTCGGAGCAGCGCGGTGATGTCACTTTCCTGCTGGAAGCCCAGCGTTCTCCTCGCCCCGAGTGAGTCCGAGGGCGCAGAGAAGTTGCCCGGCGCTCCGCGGGGCTCGAGCGGCCGCACGTGGCGGCGGCGGCGGCGGCGGGGTCGCCTGGTGGAGCGGTCCCGCCGCCGAGGGGGGCACTCCAGACCCGGCGCGTGGGCACCGCCTGCCTCCCACTTCTAGAGAGGGAGGGTGTGATGGTGTGTGTGCACTTACTTTCTCTTTCTCCACAAAGTCCACAAAAGCGGTCCTTTCAATCTCCACCGGCTGCCCCTGCCTGTCGTAGAGCGCCAGCACGAAGTGGAAGAAATTGGATTTCCGGAGGTTGGAAGGCGGCTGCTTCTCGAAGTGCGCCCGCGCCAGCCCACGCCGCTGCAGGAGGAAAGGGACAGCGGCCCGGTGAGGAGCGCGGCGCTGGCGGGCGCAGGGGGCCGGGCCGGGACCGGGCCGGGGCCGGGGCGCGCGGGGGCGGCCGGTACGTACCTCTGGGCTGCTGTGTTGGCGTCCACCACGCCCGCCGTGTGCATCCACGAGCGCACCGGGTTCATGCCGCTGCCCAGCGGCTCCTCCTTCATGGTCGTCCCCCCGCGCGGAATATTCTCCTGAATCCCAAACATGAAAACTGCTGGCGGCGGCCGCAGCTCCCGGCCGAAAGCGCTTCCGCGGTCGGCGGCGCTCGGGGCTCGGCGGCAGGCGGCTGCCCTGGCCGCCCTCGCCCTGCTCGGCGCCTGCGGTCCGGCCCGCCGCCGGCTTCAGCCCGTCCCGGGCAGGCGCGACATACACCAGCGGCCGGGCGCTCCGGACGGCCGGGGGCGCAGAGGCGGCTACACCGGCAGCGGTGGCGGCGCTTCGGAGGAGGAGGAGGAGGACGACGACGACGAGGACGCGGCGGCGGTTGTTGTTGTTGTTGTTTGCAGGCGCGCTCAACGTGGTGTCATCCTAGCCAGGCGGCTTCTGCGGCTGCAGGACACTGCGGGATCGCCCGCTTCTGGCGCGGCCCGCCTGCTCCAAAGACAAATAAACGGGGCAGTGAGTGCCGCGGCGCAGTCCCGGGCGCAGGCGGGGCGCGGCGGGGCCTGGAGCGGCGCGCGCAGCGGACGGAGGCGCACAAAACTCAGCCCTCTCTCCCCGAGGAATGGACCCTTTCCCGGGAGCCAAAACTCGAAGCCCCCGGGAGCGGCGCTGTCAGAGGGTGACGTCGGGGGGCGGCGCCTGCGCCATATATGGGAGAGGCCGCCCCTCGCCGCGCCCCTCGCCGCCGCCGCGCTCGCCGACTGACTGCCTGACGGCGCCGCGAGCCGGCCCGAGCCCCGCGAGCCCCGCGAGCCCCGTCGCCGCTGAGCGCCACCGAGCGCCACAGAGCGCCGCCGCCGCCCCCGGCCACGCGCCACGACTCCTGGAGCCCAACTTGCGGCCAAGGAAGTTACTACTCGCCCAAATAAAGCTTAAAAAGAAACAAACGCAGCAAGTGTACAATTGCACCTTGGCCCCCCAATTCCTCCCCCACAAAACCTGCCGCACAGTCACAACCCCATAGGCCGAAGCAGGGCGCCCCAAGTTGTCCAAATGCATGCAATAAATGCAAGGGTCCTCAGTTCACCCTGGGGCATTCCAAAGGGAACAGGGGGAAGAGACTGGTAGACCACATAAGGGGACTTCAGGAGATGGGCAGTCAACAGATTGGGGGACGAGGGTGCCCACCCCCCCACCCCCTAGCCAAAGCGAGACACACAGCTCAGCCTGATTTCTAAGCAGACCTAAGGCTGCTGCGGGGCTGGTCTGCAGCCATCTGAGCCCCGCCGGGCGCCCCGTGCTTCCTACCCCGGTGGAGGCCGCCCAGTGCCCGGCCGGGGATCCACGTCGGAGGCAGGTTCCGTCAGATGCTCCCTCTCCCACCCTGGTGGCCTCCGGAGTCCCCGGCCCCCCGCCTGTCTTTAGGCGCAGCGAGTGACAAAGAAGGCTCCAGCCTTTCTGGGCCGACGGAAAGAGCGCCCGGCCCCTCCGGTGACCTGACTGGTGTCCGGCTACGCGCCCTGCGAGGTGGCCAGAGCTCCCCGGCGCCAACCGCTTTTTAGCCGAGCCGACGCCAAGGGCGCCGGGGCCCTGCCCTCCGGTGCCGCGAGGCCCGGTGAGCGCGCGGCGCGCGACTTCCCGACCTGGTTTCGAGGAATTGGAAGGGCAGCCGGGCGCGGGCAGCGCTGGGCCCGGCGGCCCACCTCCCGCGACCGAGATTCAGCGTCCAGGCGCGAGGCCCGCCCAAAGGACGTCTGCGCGACGCGGAGCAGAAACCCAGGGGACGAAGAGGAGATGTCCCATACACTTTTCTGCCAAGAGAATCAGGCCCTTCCGATTTAAAAGAAAAAAAAAGGTTTCAGGGTAGAAATGTCGCAGGGCAGCCTCCTCTTCCCGCCGGGCCTGGGGTAGCACTCCCCTTTTTTTTGTGAATTGGCAGCGTGTATACGTTAATATTTTAATTAATCAGGAAAATCGAAGTCCGATTTACGTTATCTGGGGACCCCCACACGCCTCTTGGAAGGGGTGAGAGAAAAGATGTGCTGGAAAGCAATCTATTTGGCTGGTGTTGGGGGTTAATGACTATTGCCGAAGATAAGTGAATTATCAAAGCTGTTGCGCCAGTCCCATCTCAAAATCCATTACGGGGCCGGCCGTCTAATTAAATACGTAAGTATAATAAAATCATATTTTATGACTATTTGAGGGTAATGAGATTAGTCTTTAGAAGCGATCGCCACATATTAAAGATGCCACTGTCTATAGAATGTTAATAACCTTAAATCAAAGTGTATGGAAACTATTCATGATAAATTAAAAGAAAATTTCTGTATTCCTAATAAGCCCAGCGTTTTCCACTCACAGCAGCCCCGTGTGTAGGAGGGACCACTTTCTTCCTGGAGGGACTAGGCAGAATGAAGTTGCCCATGGGTGGGAGGGTGGTATTGGAAGAACTGCTTTGTCTCTGCGTGTTCACAAGCTTGGGCTCGCGCAAGGCGAGTGGCGGGGCCAGCGTTACTGTCAGAATATGCAAAGTGCCTTTTAGGGAAAGATGAAGTTGGAAACAGGAAACAATGCTTCTTTTGTAGCACACTTCCTAAAATGTCCAGCCTGAGCTGGAGGTGCCCCTTCCTTATGCTAAGGAAAGTATCATGCTTAAAATCATTTACAGTATCTTTAATTCAGATTACACGCGCCAAAGCGATTTAAATCTGATTACCAAATTAGAAGGTTTAAAAACAAATCCTTCTAAATCTGATACTGTTGACTAAAGAGGAAAAAAAAGTTCTATAAGCCCATCACATAAGGTAACGATCCTGCCCCAGAAAGAAAAGGGGTTTTAAACCTTTTTGACAACAAATGCAGCTGCCCCACTATTTTGGACGATATTAAGCGAAAATGAATGCAAATCTGTGTTCAGCAGCCATCTGGCCCGAAATGGGGGAATCAGCTGCTCTCACAACAGGCTCAGAGGCTGAATCCATTTCAGCTCATTTTCTAGATCATCTGGTCCCGCACCCAAAGCGTGGAAAATACGGTCTTTATCATTCACCAACTTTATCTTTTTTGTCACTCTACTGCAGGCTCCGAGCTGTGAGCACAAGGACTCAACAGTCCGGGCAGGGTCTCCACCCTGGCCTGCTGCAGAGGAGCCTGGGAGGGTAGCCCCCACCACACATCCCCCCAGATTTTCGATTTGATGGGGGTCGAGAGACAGAGCACCCAGGCCGGATATGGGGGAGGAGGCTGCCGGTCAATTCCTTAGTGTCCAGAGAGAACCAGGGAGCGCGTCCCCGAGCCGCCTCCTCCCCCAGGAGCCCTGCCCCCGCCCCTCGCAGTTTCTGGGGAAAGCCGGGCACCGGGAACCCAGGAGGCGGGGAAGTGGGGGTGGGGGAACGAGCTGCCACTTTAGAAGTTGCGCAGGACCGCCGCAGCCGGCATTCTAACCTCCGCGCCCAGAGTGCTCCCAGGGGCCAGACCGGCGTCCAGGGGCCCGGCCCGGCGGAGCCTGACCTTTGTCGGGGACCCTGCAGGCCGCGGCGGCGGCGGCAACCGCTCCGGGCCCCGCGCCCAACGCGATTTGCACGGGTGGCCCTTGCACTGCTGCCGCCGCCGCCTCCTCGGAGGATGGGAAGTATTCCTTTTGTGCGGATTTACGGGGAGAGGCTTCAATGAGCCCCCTCACATTTGCATTTAAATAGCGGCATCAAGCGCTTCGCGTGCCACACACCAGTGGGCTCCCAGATGTCAAGCCGAAGTCAGTCAGATGGCCAGTGCCCAGCTGTCCTCCCCACGTCGTGCCGGAGCAGGCAGTGACCTTAAAGAGACAGCGCCCGCAGCCCCTGGCGCCCCGCTCCGGGACTGGCGTGTGATGCGCAGGGCTCAAGGCTGAGGCAGAGCTTGGGCCGCTGACCTAGCTCAGCACCCGAAGCCTAGCGGAGCACCTAGGTCCACCAGCCTGAGGAGCACTCAGGACCTTTCTGCCCAGCCACCCAGTGCCCTGTGCCCCAGCCGCCGGAGCGTGTCTAAACCCTCCGCCCCTGCCCATCCGCCTAGGGACGACTGTTCAAGTGGCTTGAGGGCACTTCCCGCCACACCTCTCTAGGCCCAGCCCTCCACTGCAGTGTGGTGCAAGGCCTGGAAAGAGGGAGCTGGGCTGTGGCCGGCCTCCGAGCCACCCCCTCCTAGAAACTTTGGCCAACTTGGGGTCCCAGGACGCGAGGCCCATCGCGGAGCCGGCTGCGGCCCAGCGTCCAGGCACCATGTGCATGCCCCTTCTTGTTCGATGCCGAGCCCAGGGCATCCGCCAACTTCCCTACCATCCTTCCAAAAGAGTAATAAACTTCATTTCCGGCATTGAGAAGCCCCAGCCCGGGATTCCTGGAAGCGAAGCCCACTAATTATCAAAGGACGCAAGGGCTCTGCCTGGCACGGCGCCCTCAAGGGGGCTCACGGCCTCAGGCCAGGCTGCCTGGTCATTTCACATGAGGCCTTCGGGAAAGAGAGGCAATGCGCCAAAGGCCCGTGATTTGCGTCCCAGTCCCCAGAGCTGAGTTGCAAGCGTGGCCCGCCCTCTTGTCCTCTGCGCCCAGGGGTCACGCTTGGAAGGTACAGGCCTCTGGGACTTCAGCCCTGCTCCAGCCTGGCAGGGGTTTGCAAATAACCCGAAAAGGGAGCGATGGATTGACGCTGGTCCCCGGAAGGGCCGGAGGGACTAGAAGTGATGCGCCTAAAAAATTCCGTGACCTCCGGAATAGGGAGGAACCGACACGCACTGGCAAACCCTGCCCGCCGCGGTCCCTGAGTGCGCCCAGAGCTCTACCTTGAGCCGCAGGGTCGCGCACACTGGTGCGCAGGAGGAAAAGGGGAAGCAGGCTAGATACATGGGCAGTCCCCACCTGTTAAATTGAGCGCCAAGGGGAGCTGGCCCAATTTCGGGTTGTCGGGCCAAGAGGGCGCTCCTTAGCGCTCTCCGAGGAGAAAGGGAAGCCGGGGGAGCCCTCGGGAGGCATTTGGTAACAGAGCCCAAGCCAGGCCACGCGCCCCGCCTGCCCTTGAAGGCAAAAATAACTGGGCATCTCGCCCGTGGCACATAGGGTGCAGGAACTAGAGTCTTTCCCCTGTGCTAGGAGGCCGGAAGCCTGATGGGGTTCAAGGGTAAAAAGCGAAAACTGAAGGGTCCCAAACTCCTATTTTCTGCACCGCCCCCTCCCCCAATATTTATTCTGCACAGCTAAGGTTTCTGAAGCCCGACCCGGAGTACCGAAGAAAGCTCAATTCTCCAAGTGAGAACGTGCAAACGTCTCCTGCCAAGGCGGCCAAGTTTAACAAACAGCGCCTCCTGGGGTGGGGAGAGTGGAGTGCCGCCGCGCAGCAAAGAGCTGAGCCACCGCTCCCACCCACTCTGGGGCAGGTGGCCACTTCGGCTCCTAGGGGATCCCAGCACCTGGGCCCCAGCTTTTGTGAGTCCAGTGCACCTAGGCCTAGCTGAACCCATACTCAGGGCGTTGTAGAAACGGCCACGCGCCACCTCAACCTAATTGCCGCCCACGTGCACCTGCAACAGCCGGGAGCAGCTCGACACCCGGCACCAGGCCTGCATGGGGAGAGTCAGAAGCACGCCCTAGTTATAGAGAAATGT